GTTGATTTGGCAGCTTTCCATATTATTTTCTTTAGTTTTTTTCTTGGATATATCTTCCTGAAGTTATTGTAGAGATGCCTAACACAGAACCGTTGTTCAACTCTAGGTAGAGGTTCTTCCATTGCAGGCAATAATCCCTAAGTCATCAAAAGTGTAACATGAGAATTTGTAACATGAAATACCCATCAATAAAAAATTAAAAACAAAGCCATACCTTTTGTTGCTCAGAGATAAAAGTGTATGTGAGACACTCTTCTCTTCCACCAAGAACATCAATAAACGGCTCTAAGAACCATGTCCAACTATCCTTGTTCTCACTCTCCACCACTGCATATCATATTGGTAGCATTTGTTCATTGGGATCTCTGCCTATGTCTGCAAGTATTTGACCCCCACAAAGGCCTTTAAAAAAATATCCATCAAGTCCAATGAAATGTCTGCTTAACTTAAAGCTTTCCTTACAAGCTGTCAAGCATATGTATATCCTTTTGAAATGTAATTTCTAAACACCACCTTCTTGTTCAGGTTCGACATTCACTTTTACAGTTTACTTTGGGTTAGCTCTTAATAACTCATGTGCATAGTCGTATATCCTTGCATAATCCCCTAGGAACGATCCATCGATCATGTCTTTGGCTGCAAACCTATCCCTTATGGCCTTGGTTTTGTTGACCCCCATATTCCACTTCTTCTGTACCTTCTCCTTAATATCCTTAATTTTCATTCTAGGGTTGGTTTTAAGTAAATTCTGCAACCTCTTGCTCAACCATTTAGTCTTCATTAATTTCACATTATATTCTCTATTGTAACTATGACTGTCTACTACCTTGCTTAGTTGCCAAGAATCCCCAGTAGACAATTTAGCACAATAGGATTCCCATTCCCATCCTTCCTTACATCTAACCCTAATCATGGTCTTGTCATTTTTAATGAACTTTAAATTTCTACCAGATTGGACTATATAAGAGGTAATGGCTTCCTTGAAAGTTTCTGCTGTACTAAAGTAGGTTCCCACTTCCCATTTGTAATTTTCCATATCCTTTTGAAGCTTGAAAACTAGATACTTCTTTCTCCTAACTCTACTGCTATCATCACTATCACAGTCACTTCCTAGATCATCACTTTCATTATCACTTCCTTTGCTATCTTCTTTATTTTCTTCACACTTTTCTTTACCTTTTTTGCTTTCCATGTGTTCATAGTTAATTAGGTTACCCTCTTACTCTTCCAAATCAGTGTTATACTCATCAGAGTCATCATAGTTGAAGGTGCTATCATCAAAACTATCATCATCATCAGTCAGTCTAACAGCACCATCAACCTCACCAGCCCTATGTCTAATATCATCACTTTCAACCTCATCAACCATTGGCACATTATCATCAGTTCCTACTGCATGAACACCATCTTCCCTAATATCATCTTCCTCAACACCATCCATGTTAACATCATCTTCCCTAATATCACCTACTCTAACACCATCTTCCCTTACATCAGTTTCATTCAACATCTCTTCAAGTGCAACTACTTCCTCATCAACTATCACAATAAGGGGTACCTCATCTAACACAACTTCAATCTCATCAGCATAATCAGGCTTTGTTAATGTGTGTTGAATAAAGACTTCAACACTAAGATGAACCCTATATAGATCAGCAATCTCTAATGTCCCCTTGTCATCAACCAACGTATTCATCCCAGCAGTAGGATTCCTGTAATATATATTCTCTACATCTGCATAACCCATCTCTTTAATAGCACCTATCAATTAAAAATAGCCCCACTTATCAACATCTACTCTCAAATCAGCAATCTCACCTCCTTCGTAAACACTCATGTCCTCAGTAACAAATTTCCCACTATGGTGTATTGTAATGTTGAGTATTCATCCATTTCAGACTAGGTCCTAAATGAACAGGAAGATATTTGATTTCAGAAACATTGATTTCAAAAAACCCTAACTACGAAATCATAGTTTTGCATAAACTTACCTACGATGAGCAGTGTTGTGGTCGATTTCACCTTCGCTTCGCTTCGATTGTAATGTTGTGGTCGGATTGTGCCTTCGCTTAGCTCGCAACTTGTTCGCAAATTAGAGCTACTAACAATGGATGCCCAAGGATTACCTTCTAAGTGTTGGATATGTAATCTGATCCTTTAACACATGCAATGCTATAACCATTTCTAAGTATTGGAGATGTAATCTGATCCTTTAACACATGCAATGCTATAACCATTTTTTTTAAAATACTTTTATCCACCTGGACAAAAATGTAAACACGTGCAATGCCACATATATGCCACATAAGTTATATCATTGACTTTGACTAACAGTCCATACGAAAAGGATAAACGTGGTCCTTTTTGAACAATTAAAAGACCACTTTGCAACTTTTTAGAGATAAGGGACCAGAATGGACCTAAAGGTAAAGTTAAGGGACTAAAAAGGGTATTTTGCCTTTTCCTTTTTAATAGAAAACTCATTTCCCTCATTTAGGTTACTCTTATCATATCCTCATTTATCTTCATAATTACCACCTTTCCCTTACTACCTTTATTTTCTATTTACTTTATAATTAAATTAAATTTTTCATCAAAATATTAATTAAAAAAATTACTATTATTTCTAATTCCTTTATTTTTCTAATACTTTTGCCAATATAATTAATTAAAATCCCAATTAATTATACTACTCTCTATCATACTCATCAACCCTACCACATGTCACATGCGACACATATATTCACTAAAAATCAACTTAAAGGCATATAATCACTTAATAACCGAGTAAAATTGCATCTAAATTCAATTAAATAAATTAAGTGAATGCAGGGTGTTACGCCATCCATCAGCGTTGACGCATGTTCAGCTCATTTTAATCAAATAGATGTTTCAAGATCTTATGATAGTTGAACATCCCAAAATGGATGTTATACAGGTAACGTCACCACACTTTGAGTGTGAAAACTATAACATCTAGTTCAAGGTCATGGGTTGGGCAATTCCCTTCATGTAGTTTCAATTGATGAGATGCATATGACACACCTTGACCATTTTTCATAAGCATACCATCCAAACCCTTCTTTGATGCATCACATAAAACTTCATACGGTTGATTTGGATTGGTGATTACCAATACTGAAGCAGTGATTAACTTCTTTTTCACCTTCCACAAACTTTTCTCGCATATGCTTCCCAACAGAAGGGAACATCCTAACGGGTGAGTTTGGTCAAAGGTAAGGCTAATTTAAAAAATCCAATTATGAATCTCTGATAATTTCCTACTAAACCCATGAAACTTTGATCCTCATATGCATTCTTTGGTCTCTCCAATTTCACCATTGCTTCTACCTTTGGAGGATCTACTCCCACACCTCCTCGAGAAATAACATGACCAAGGAATTTCACCTTAGACATCCAAAATTTAAACCTACTAAGCTTCATAAACAACTGCTTACATTAGAGAACTAATAGAACGATTCTCAGGTGCTTTGCGCTCTCCTTCGGAGTACGGGAGTATATTAGAATACCATATTCAAAGATTATTATGAACTGGTTGAAATATCATGTTCATATAATCCATAAAGACTACATGAGCGTTGGTCACTCCGAACGGCATAACAAGACATTCGTAATGATCATATCGCATCTTGAAATTAATTTTGGGTGTATCTAAACTATTCACTCGAATTTGATGATATCCTCTGTCATACCTCAAATTTGTCCTACCCTTTATCAAATCATCTAGCTTTATGTTTCACCTTCATATGCATCTTCATTAGGTCATTTAAATACATCATGCATCATTAATTATTATCCTGGCATAGGATCAAGGACCTTGGAAATTAAGGTTTTCTCTGTGACCTTGAGGCTTCTACACTGTGCATGTTTGTTTCTATTGAGGATATAATGGATCATGAATTAAGGTTCGCCTCTATGTGTTTGTGGTTATCAGATGGACCTCAAGGCTTTGGTTTTACATTCCCCATGGATTTATTCTCATGGTATTCGACTAATTGGGTCATCACGTAAGGTGTGTGGATTTTTTGTTGCTTACATTACAAGTCATTCAATTGAACTTCATTCATAAGACTTTGCATTATACGTGGAAGTTCTTATGGACCGTGGATTGAGATGCATTCTATATGTTGCAATCACCAGTTGAATTGGAGTTTGTTTCAGTATACTTATGTTATCAGGTGAATTCAATTTTGTTATGAGTTTTATGTGATATGTTTTTCATATTAGGGCTTTGTTTGGTCCTACCATCATTCAAAATAGAGCTCATTTGATTACTTGGATTATGATACATATGCTTTGGATTTTGCACAAGTATTGAGGCACTACATAGCATTATCATGAAAGCATTTCAAGTTGAAGATCTTTTGATTATGATACATATGCTTTGGATTTTGCACAAGTATTGAGGCACTACATAGTATTATCATTATTATGTATTATCATTATCATGAAAGCATTTCAAGTTGAAGATCTTTTGATAAAGGGTTGACTGTTTGTCAAAGCCCATCTTAGTATTTTTTTTGGGACTTTCGTTATATTCACTCAAGCGAGGTGCAAAGTAAAGAAAGAATTGGAAATTCAAGTTCAGCAAATAGAGGGAATTGTTTCATTATTTGAAGAACAAGTTACAAAAGTCAATATTTCCATTCATAAAGTCAAAGTAATAAGAGTGTACAATACAAAATCAAGGGAAACTTAGAATTAAAATGCAAAGTAGATGTCAAGTTTGCTCAAATCCATTCAACTTTCAAGACAAAGTTCCATACAAAGGTTCCAAGTAAATTACATCATTAACCATTTACAAAGGAGATTACATGAAAATAACACAAACAAAAAAAAAAAATCCTAATGTCCTAATCTTCACCCTCAAGATTGCCTTCAAATCATCTTCATCCGGCAAAGTCTCATGCTATGCCCAAGACTCCAAACCTTGTCCATACATAATCACCGAACTAAAACAGCCCCTGCACATAAATAGGTCACAGTCCAGCCATATCCAAAACCTGCATAAGTTCGAATCAAACCAGTCCAAGTTCACAAAAAGCAAAACAAGTTCAATAACCATGGCAATACTAACAAGTTCACGAATAATTCCTCAAAGCTAACAAATATTAATTTGCAATATTCATGTTCTGACTGGATTAACATTTCCAACCATGTTTCTATTTCACTAACATAACTAACAATCAAAAACTTGTCCAAATACAATTCAAAAACAGTCACAAACCAGGTGCATTACACCTAAAACTACCATGCGCATCAAAATCAGCCATATCTAGAATCGTAAGCTCATGAACACCATCACCATCAACACGCTTGCAGTCAAAACTTGGACATATTGTATGTCGTCACAGACCGCAAGCAGCTCATCAATATGCAATGCTTGTATACCAACTGCTGCCATGTCATCACCCTGCATAAACAAAGAGGGAGCAAGCATCATTATGGAATCGGCACAGCTTAAGTTCAGGATGAGCCCGACATATATCAGACCTGCGCATGGTTAAAGCAAATTAGAAGAAAACATTGAATCAAGAGGAATCTCAGAGCAAATATAAAAGAAGAAGCAATTCAAAGGAGATTATGACATGATTACGTAGATTCAACTCATGTGAAAAGAGGTAAAAACGAAAACCAAAGGAAAAGTCAGGAAAATATATAAGATGAGAAAATTATCCAAACCGTGAAAAAAATCGGAGAGGATAGTTTTGGCATCAAAGAAGTGAGAAGACACAAAAATCAAAATATCACATAACAGTTACAACAGAAATATAAACATAATAACTAACTCTATAACAGATCCAATAAATAACTTTTGAGAAACTCTCTCAAATTTCCAGCTCATAATAAAACCTTCCCTTCACCCAAACCTAAACAATTGATCCGAACCTAGCATTTTCCCTTCATTCAAACTGAGTAACAAACTCCGAACCTGGAGTAACTAACTACATAGCTAAGCAACTACCCGAGCCTAACTCCTAACCATCTTCCTCTCAGAACCTACAGTCTATATAAGAACACATCCACCTTCATTTCAAGTTTCACCCTTCATTTTGCATGCTTCACCATTTTTCTGAATTCACCCTCATTCATCTTCTTCCCCTCACTCTTCTCTATGCAACTAACCACCATTTCCTACAAAATCTCATAAATTCACACAATTCACTTCTCATCATTTCTCACTCAGAACTCTCTCTACAAATCTCCATTTTCCCTCAACCCACACTCTTCATCTTCAACCTCACTTGATCTTCTTCATGATTTTCTCTGGTTTTCTACAACCATTACTCTACACCATCTTCAATACAGAGTTTATTTCTCAGTCTCTCAGCTCACTCCACACCAACAACTTCTCAACGTACAGAAATCAGAGAAAAGGGAAATCAAGTAGAAGAAGGAGGAAGAGATATAGCTAGAACGAGAAGAAAAGCGGAAGCAATTTCGAACCTGGAACCTCCCCTCTGGTTTTCTGGAGCTTATCATCACCTTTTCCGAGCAACAGGTTCTATCCCTTCGAATTCCTCGCTTTTTTTTTTACCATAGCATAGCGTAGCCTCATCAAGATCGTATCACTGTGACGAATTTGTGCGTTCGGCGTAAGAGCATAATTCCGGAACAAAGCTAAATCAAAGGAATAGGGATGGAAAATTTGTGTTCCGAGCATGAGACGAAGGTGGAGGAAAGCGAGCGGAGAAATCAATGGAAGTGATGAAGTCACCGCAAAGGAGATGGAGGTTCGGAGAAGTGAGTTTGAGACGGAGTTTTGTGTAGCGGTGACGGATCGGAAGAGATGAGACGAACGGAGACGGAGATTTGGAGCGAATGGCGCCGGAAGACTCTAGATCGCCGCCGTTCGTATTCGAGAAGAAGAGGAGGAGTTTTTGTGTTTCTCGTGAAGCTGGATAGTCACAAACAATTAACTTAAAGCGGACATCAAAGACTTATGATTTTTACTGGATGAAATTCACTCAAGTGAATCTTGGAAAATCAAATTTTTTTTATTAATAACCATGTATTAAAAAAATATTTCGTAAATAATCGGGTTTCGGAAAAAATTACGCAAATAACTATGTTTGAGATGGCTCCACAAAGGAGGAGTCATCTCAATTGGCGCATGCACCTCCTTTTTTAAGGGAGGCACCATCTCACTTGGCGCCTAAGTGTTTAGGGCATGCCCTAAGCCAAGTGAGATGGCGCCTATGTACAAATTTAGGGCAAATTTTTTTTTTATTTTATTTCCTGTGCGTTGCCTATTGGACAGAGATCAACAAAATGGATTTTTTATTTAAAAAAAATAATTACATTCAACTGTTTTACATTAAAAGAACAGTAAAAAAAATGGATACAAAAAATACTGGGAAAAAAAAAGATACATCAGTGATCCCCGGAACCCGGTAATAACCCTCAGTTCCGCATCCCCGTCGTCGCATTTCTCTTGCTGGGTGTCGTCGTGTTTCCTGCTGCGGCAAGGTCGATGGCCCAACGAAGTCAATGCGATCCGAATCCATAAAATCAGTAAGATCTCCATATCTCGAAGATCCGGTCTGGTACAGTCGGTTACCCATACCCTCAAAGTTTAGTCGTGTTGGCGGTGGGTGGGGTTCCATGGTTGGTCGGTAGCATTGGTCGTCTGAGTATGGGGGTAGAAAGGAAATGGATCTTGGGGTGTTTGGTATTGTGGATGTTGGGTTGTTTGGTGATATGGTGGTTGATGGTAGGTTTGGTCGGCTTGGTCATAATCTTCTGACATTCCCATATCAGAGCTAAGGCTGGATGTTGAGGGCGCCATATTGGGATATGTGGAAGACTGAAATTGTGTCTGGGGTATGTGGGTGTGCTGGTATTGGGGTTGGTATTGTGGTTGGGTTTGAGGCATATCCGGGTATTGGTAGTTTGGTGGTGATTGTGGTTGGTAGTACGACATTTGATTGTAGTTGTGTTGTGGTGGGGAATGTGGTTGTGTGTTTGTTGGTCTGTTTCTTCTTGGGGGTTGGTTTGAGGTTGATGGATTTTGGGTTTGTTGATGGGGAATCGAGGGTTGTGCCCATTGTGTGCGTGGGTCAACCAAGTACCTCGGATGAGACACGTGCATTTCTGGGTTACTAACCGACCTGTACCACGACATATATTGATCAGTGTATCGCATGTTACCTTGAGTAAGGAAAACCGGGGATTGCAAGATGTAGCGGTGACGCCTTTGCCACATTTTACACCATTCCGGAGCAAAGTATTTCCAGTTGGTAAGACCCCACTGGGCGTCGACCCTTTTTAGATGCCAGGGGGACAAATCTGTTGGATCACTTGGTATCTCTTGATGCATTCCGAACTGCATCTTCACACGGTCGCTATGGTGCATCTCCACAATGTTGAACCGAATGAGTGGAGTCTTTGCAGTCCAAGTTGATGCATCCTCTGGGTTTGGAGCATGGCCCAAACCCAAATATGGTCTCCAGACGAACTGCGATAAAATTTAAATCAGGTTAGCGCAAAAGTAATGTATAAATAATTAAAATGAACAAAAGTTAAAAGTTACGACGTACGTCATCTGGGCCTAAGTGATCCAACAGATTCCGGTAGAGTGCGACATTGAATCTTGGATTCTTGCCGTAATCCATACCCCTCACGCAGTACCTAAAGGAAATGAGAAACATGTTATTTTTAGCATATATTTTGGAAAGAGCAGAATAGTTATAAATGCTATAACTTAATGACTTACTTTGTTGCGTACGGGAAACCAAAAGTGTTGTTGTTGATGGGGTTTAAGGACTCCATCCTCCACCAACCCCAGGCTTGTAGTAAAAATGCGCACCCATAAAATGTACATTTTTCCTTGACTGCGTTTTTGCACAAGGAACTGTACAGGTGGGCTAATACTGCAGAACCCCAACTATATTTTCTAGTTTTTTCAAAATTTGTTAGTAAATGTAAGTACATGAAATTTACACTATTTCCCGTACTTTCGGGAAATAAAAATGTACCAAAAAGTATCATAAGATACGTTCTGGCTTTTACTACTCGGTCATTCTCTGAGGAATTTTCATTTAATTCCATACTTGCATAATGACGTTTCAGGTCAGTGAGTAGTATTCCCTGCCCTCTTGCTCCACCACCTTCTACCATATCCCTACCCAACAGTTCTTCACACTGTGAGTTGGGTTGTTGAATCGACCCGTTCACCGCCTTACCATCGATAGGGAGGCTCAGTAGCATGTACACATCCTCGAGAGTGATGGTACATTCACCTATTGGTAGGTGAAATGTATGGGTCTCCGGTCTCCACCTTTCCAACATTGCAAGAATGAATTTTGAGTCAATGGTGCAGTTGGAGATCTTTATCACATGTCCAAAACCTGCATATTCTAGATAAGGGACGATAAATGGGTCGGGAGCCAGGTAGTTGTGCAAACGGATTCTGAATCTTTTTGTATCCTGAGATCATAATTAAACAAGTGTAAGATTAATTAAGATGAACAACACGTTATTTGAAGTATGAAAAATGTATAACCAAAGAAGAGACTTACAAATGCAGCAATGTTTTCCCTTGTACCTCTGTGAGTATCGCCCATTGTTAGAAGAGCCATTGTTCAGAATGCTTGAGAGTATGAAAGACTTAGGAAGAAATAGAGAGTATGATAGACTTAAGAAATATTTCGTAGCAGAGAGTGAGAGTTGTGTGGGTGTGAGAGATGTTTCATAAGGTATGTATTTATAGGCAAATAAGTTTGATGTAGTGGTTGCTTGTGCTTGCATGCCTGCGAAGTGTCACATTTGCATGCTTAGGGTGTTACACATATGCATGCATGCATTTATAAAAAATGTAAGGTGTCACTCTTGCAGGCTAGGTGGCAGCCCATGCATGTATCACGATTGGACAGTAAGGGAGGCGCCATCTCACTTGGCGAAAGAGTACAAAAATGAATGGTGTCGCCACCCCATTTGGCGAATAAGAGGTGTCATTTGTTACAGCATAGGCTCAGGCTACGTGACAGCCTTTGGGATTCCTTTCTTTGTTGCATGCAAGGCCACTGGAGTTGATGGGTGGAGTCTTACACAAAACATGTATGTGTGCAGAATAGGGCCAGGATAGGTGGCAGGCTATGGGGTTTCATAAGCCCATGCATGTATCACGATTGGACAGTAAGGGAGGCGCCATTGGACTTGGCGAAAGAGTACAAAAATGAATGGTGTCGCCACCCCATTTAGCGAATAAGAGGTGTCACTTCTTACAGCATAGGCTCAGGCTACGTGACAGCCTTTGGGATTCCTTTCTTTGTTGCATGCAAGGCCATTGGAGTTGATGGGTGGAGTCTTACACAAAACATTTATGTGTGCAGAATAGGGCCAGGATAGGTGGCAGGCTATGGGGTTTCATAAGCCCATGCATGTATCACGATTGGACAGTAAGGGAGGCGCCATTGGACTTGGCGAAAGAGTACAAAAATGAATGGTGTCGCCACCCCATTTGGCGAATAAGAGGTGTCACTTCTTATAGCATAGGCTCAGGCTATGTGACAGCCTTTGGGATTCCTTTCTTTGTTGCATGCAAGGCCATTGGAGTTGATGGGTGGAGTCTTAAACAAAACATGTATGTGTGCAGAATAGGGCCAGGATAGGTGGCAGCCTATGGGGTTTCATTATTGCATGTAATATTATTGGCAGCCTTGGGGGGTTGCATCCCTTACTTAATTGAAATTTTTTGCCTTACGTTGAACATAACATTGATTCACATAATCTGTAAAATCTTCCAACCTTCGAATCAGTCATCAAACCTTCAAACATTCCAGCATTCATACCTTCATACAATCAATAAACCTCAAACATTCCAACCTTCAAACCTTAAAACAATTCTACACAATGGCCTCTTCACCACAATTTGTTGTCAAAGCACATTTCAACGGTGAGACATACATTTGTCCCACAGTTGGGTTTTTGTTTAGAAACACCGACAACGTTCGATTTCTCTTAAACGGGAAAGTAAATTTCTCGTGCTTCAAGAAAAGATTGGAGGCCAAACTTGAACGAGGCCCGGTATCCCAGATATTTTATCAGAATCCAGTTTTTTTTGGAAACAACCAAGTAATTTTTTATAAGGTTGAAGTTCAAGATGACGAGGATCTCCAGAACATGATTTCCAGCCATGTCTATTCTGGATACGACTCTATTGAGTTGTACATTTTGCTTCAAGAGCCTCCGGTGACACAGGAGGTAGAGCCTCCGGTGACACATGAGGTTGATCCTTTGGAGAATGAACAAGATGAGGTAGATGCAGTTGATGATGAAGAAGAAGATAACGAGTTAGAGTTTGATGAAATGGTGAACAACGATTCTGACGATGATGGCATCCCAAGTATTCCTACTGACAAAATCTACACACCACCTCCGCACATGACAAACTTCAACATGGGCGGAGATGAACCTTCTACTGACTTGTTTTTCCAACCGTATATGCAGTCGGATGAAAATTTAAAAGAGAAGGACAAGTTTTGTAACAGAGAGGAATGCATCAGGGCCATCAAAAAATTTCACATGCTCAACTCGGTTGATTTTAAGGTGGATCGTGTAAACCCGGAAAGGTACAAGATCAAGTGTGTCCACCCTGACTGTATGTTCAAGCTGACCGCATCATACAGATTAAGGGGTGACTGCTGGGTCATAGGTTCCATG